CACACAGACAACGCACACACACAGACAACGCACACACAATACACACAGTCATTGCGCACAAACACACAGACAACCCGCACACACAAAATGGTTGGCTAGGTACGGTGTGACAGAAGTCCAACACACATACAATACTCAGAGACACAAACACTAAATGCGCACAGACGACGGAGCCAGAGACACTTGCCCACAGCTCCGTCCGACAGGTGGATGGGCCGTGCCAGTCGCGATTGCCCATCGATGTCACTCGTCCCCTACGCAGTGCCGGATTATTCCAGTAGCAGAAGTAGCTACAAATGTAGCTACTTGTGTAGTAGCTACTACAGATGTAGCTACTTGTGTAGTAGCTACTACACACACGTAGCTACTGGCTCCGCACTTCCAAGGGCCCCGCGCTCAACGCTTTCAAGCTTTCAATTCCGATTCAGTGATTCTGCACTTGCTCTATTACTATAGTACTAGACTGCCTTCAACTTTTACGAACAACTGGGTGTTTAAGGTGAGCGATTTGTCGTATTATCTGGCTGGATAGCAAACTAATACAATAACTTTAGTATGCAAGTAAAAAAAAAATTGTGTTCGAATATTTACGTGTTTTTTTTTTTATGTAGGGCCCCTTTATAAGATAATGCTACAGGCCCCGCACTAGCTTCATCCGGCACTGCCCCTACTGTTCACTCATTGTGCGGGGTGTGCCCTGTGGCGCCGGGCCACGTGAATTAGGATATGAATTAGGGATGTTTACCGTCTTTAAAGCTTTCGTGACTGCAAGGATTCACCTTGTTTGGTTCTTTCGGTGCAGTCACGTAGAATGAGAATAAAATAATAAATTAATGAAATAAAATAACACAATAAAATTCCCACGACGTTTCGGCCACAACACAAGTGGCCTTCTTCAGGTGAAAGGAACAGACCTGTCGGGACGACAGAGCTTCAATGAACGTTGTTAAGATTCGTAGCGTCTTTTAAGCTGGTTTAGAGAAGTGAGGCACCTTGACAAAGGGGTTTACATATCAAACAGGAGAATTTAGCATTGAAATAGCTGAGTGATTAGCTTGTGACTGGTCACAGAAATAGCTATGTTAAAGCCAAAGCTTACACATCCACAGAGACACCTAGTACAAATCAAACAGGAGAATTTAGCATTGACATAGCTGAGTGATTAGCTTGTGACTGGTCACAGAAATGGCTATGTTAAAGTCAAAGCCTACACATCCACGGAGGCACCTAGTACAAATCAAACAGGATAATTTAGCAATGCTAAAGTGGCCTTCTTCACCTGAAGAAGGCCACTTTTGTGTTGTGGCCGAAACGTCGTGAGAATTTTATTGCGTTATTTTATTTTATTAATTTATTATTTTATTCTCATTCTACGTGACTTTACCGAAATAACCAAAGAAGATGTTTACCGTCATGTAACAACGAGCGAACTACATTCAGCGAGCACTGTTTGACTCGACTTGGTGTTGTTGTTTTCGTTCGAAATTACTTTTACGAATTTGTTTTGGAAGTTGCATCTGTTTCATCACGCCCAGGCCAGTGTGTTGATGTTTTTTTTTGCATTTCGGCAAGAGCGCAAATTTGCACGGTAGGTGACACACGAAATCGCACAAAAGATAAAGATCGCCCTTATAGCCTTAACAGACTGTAGGAGCAAGTGCTGTTAGCGAGCACCTATGAAGGCCGGCACGGCACACGAGGGGTTGGGTGGCCAGCACCACGCCCGGCCGCCTTTATCTCCCTAGTGGCGATGATTATACACCGCACCAGGTACTCATTTGAGGCTGAGTAGACCTAGTGGAGGCCCAGGACCGGTTCAGATAATCGTCACTGGTGTTGGCCCGTGAGCAAGAATCGCACTCGGGTCGTCGGGTTCGTAGCACAGCGTAGCGCTAACCACTACACTACCGCTCCCCACACACATCCACTGACACACACACACACACTGACACACACACTGACACACACAAACTGACACACACTGACACACACAAACTGACACACACATCCACTGACACACACACACTGACACACACACACTGACACACTGACACACACACACTGACACACACAAACTGACACACACACACTGACACACACACAGACACACACACAGACACACACACACTGACACACACACACACTGACACACACTGACACACACACACTGACACACACACGCGAGCCTATTCAACGCGAAGCTCTGCGTTGTAGCGGCGTGGAGATTGGTGGCGCAGTTTGATAGCAAGGTGAGCTGTGAACGGGGCCCACCGCAGCAGGTTCATTCACGCCCGCGGCTATCAAAACATCGTCAGCGAGCGATGTCCGAACTGGTTCGCGAGATCTGAAGACCCACTCGCGTATTTTACCCCCAACCAGCACGGAATTGGCGTGGTCAAGCACGGTCAAACACCCCTCCGTGTTCAGACACGCTGTGCCAGGTGGGGGTGGGGCTTTCATCCAACAGTGGATTGACAAAAGACGACCTTTTTATTATTATGTTAGACTCTGAAGTGCTGTTAGCGAGCACCTATTAAAGCGGTGGGCGGCGGGGGGGGCAATCAATATAACAAGAAGGACTTTTTGTTTTTCAAATTCGGTAATAAAAACGAAAAAAAAACCCACCCCCTCTCGATATTTCAAGAGCCACCGAGGCACCGTGGCGTTGGTCACGAGACGGTGGTCCTTGTTTGTTGTTGTTGTTATACATTAACGTCACGAAGCAGTCCCTTAAAATGCCGCAGGTCGCCGACCCCCTCCCCCCTTGTATCAAGGGCAGCAGGTTGCCGACCTCCCCCCCCCCCCCCCCCTTGTATGAAGGGCAGCAGGAGCGCGACAAAGGGGTCGTGTGACTCTCGCGGGGCCCGGTTCGACTGCTCACGCTCGCCCCGCGCTGCCTCGCCGGCGCCAATGTTGATAGAGCGCAGCGGGTTCTCCTATTTAGGGCTGAGTCAACCTAGAGGATGTGCCCGCGCCAGCATCGTTTACCAGCTGACAGCGGTGCCATTCTCCTCCTCCTCCTCTCCTCTTCTTTCGTATGGATTCTTAGCAGCGGATTAAAGATGTAACTTTATTTAGATGCTGTTCATCCACCAGAATTGCCTGCTATATATAAAAGCGGACCGGATCTCGTCCGTTCCACCTTGAAAGCAGTGGAGACAGCGGCTGTCTGCAACGTGGGCCGATCGTTCGGGATCAGTGGCCTCACTCGCGGCTCCGCCCAATCTCTGATGCTCCACTTGTGCCCGGTCAGATGCCCGGTTCCCGATTCGGGTTATTCGCACGCCCCGGGATGGAACAAGAATCCGCTGCGTTCGTAGCGCGGCGTGCCAACCACTTCGCCACCGCTCCTCGGACATACAACGCATGGCACGCGGGCGTGTAGCCAAAGCGGCCCAGTGCAATACAGACAACACACCGACGTATAAATGATACGGACCGCTGGGGCAAGTGCTGTTAGCGAGCACCTATTAAGGCCAGCACGGCGTACGAAAGGGTCGCGTGGACAGCACCACCGCCCCGCGCGCTGCCTTCGTCTCTGACAGTTTACACGACGTATCAAGGTAATACTTTGATGTTCAATCGACCCAAAGGGTAGAGCCAGTCGACCGAGAGCACCGCTTCTGATACCGCTTGCCACTGATGACTACTGCCGTTGCTGGCAATCGATTCCGAGTTCGCAGTGCGTTTCACTCGCAGTGCTCTAGTGCTTCAGACTCCGCTTACAAATTCACGCCGCGCTTCGCATCCTATGAGTGCGTTATTCGCGAATCCCGCGTCCATTCCATTGCGACGAAGAGACGCATCACGAACCGTCGCTATGAATTTCTGACAACAACAACAAAACAGCGAGTTACGCGGAGCACTATATCTGCGTCGCATTCCCCCCGCAATAATCCGTGGAAAATTAGTCAAATTATTCTTGGATTTCAGCGCCGTGTTAAGCTATCGTGCCGGTGGAAATGTTGTTAAAGATGCAGACACAGAGACACACGTCCCTCATTGAACGTTGCTGTATAGACCGGAGATCGGCAACCTGCGGCTTCGAAGCCGCATGCGGCTCTTTAAGGAACTGCCTCGTGACACGTGGATTTATTAAGGACCGACGTCTCGTGTCAACCACCACACAGTGCACTGCGACTCTTGAACTATTGAGTTGGTTTTTTTTACCGATTTTTTTTTGTTGTAAAATGTCTTCTTCTTGTTGTTGTTTTCTTTGCCGACTCCCCTAGTATAGACGAGATATCGCCTATGAAGGCCGACACTGCACGCGAGGCTATGGTCCAGCAGCGCTGCGCTGTGCTTGTCTCCCCGTTATTGATGCTTACCCAGCGAAGACGATACTCGTTTAGGGCAGGGTTTTGCTCTTCTGTGGCCTAATTATATATATATATTTTCAGGCTGAGCTGACCTAGAGGGAGGCTCGGGAATACGTTCTAAACGTCGCAGTGATGCTAATAGCCGCGGCCCGAGAATAGAACCCAAGCTGATCGTCGTGTTTAGAAGTGGGGCTTGGAGCGCAATGCGCAAACCACTGCGCCACCACTCATCGCTCTCGTACACTCAGAAACAAAGACAAAAATCCCCACCCCCCCCCCCATAGCCTTAACAGACTGTTGGGTCAAGTGCCGTTAGCGAGCATCTATGAAAGCCGGCACGGCACACGAGGGAGTGGGTGGCTAGCACCACACCCGACCGCCTTTGTCTCCCTGATGCCGATGTTTATACACCGCACCAGGTATTCGTTGAATTACGAATCGACCTAACGGTGGCACAGACCCAGTTGAGATATTCGTCACCGATTTTTTGTCAGCGAACGGGAAATCGGACTCGGCTCGTCAGGTTTTTCGTGTCGCGGCGCGCTAACCACTGCGCCACCGCTCCCCATACTCACTCACATTCGCGCATCCCAGATAACACGGCGAGGGGAGGGGCACGCGCGCGCGCGCTCCACGCACTCCCACGTGCACGCGCGCGCGCCCACCCACCCACCCACGCCTCCTCCTCCTCCTGGCTCCGTCTCTATAAATGGGGTTCCCTCGTTGAGTGGACGCAGCGAGCCGGGGACTGGCGCGGGTCAGGTACGGGTTTGGTCCGGTGCGGCGCGGCGCGTTCTGGTATGGGTCTCCGCTCGCTCAAGCAGCACCTCGAACCGTCCACTCACAGGCAGGATGATGTTGATGGTGGTGGTGGTGGCGTTAATAGCGTTGTGCAGTTGTTTGTTTGTAAGTGATGAGGATGATGCTGACGACGTGGTGTTTGTAAGTGTTGCTAGCAGTGCACGGTTCTTTGTTGGCAAGGTGACCCATAATGCACGGACTAGCGTTGAGCCATAATGGTCGAGTTAATTTTGTTTTCGTCATTGCACAGATGACGACCGTAACGATGGTGGTGCCGCTGGGCAGCATCAGGGATATTCACCGATGCTTACGGAATAAACAACATGATAATGATGAAGCTCTTTGTAACGCGCGCACATTTCGCGGGACGGATGCAATACAATAAATGCTTGCTGCTGACAAATCGTTGTTCGTTGGCGAACTCGGAAGAGCGAAATTAAGTTGATGGCTATTACGATGGGGGGGGGGGGGGGGGGGGGGGTCACCGCTTACTCGACCGCGATAACGATGTTGGAGACGGTAGCGATGACCGCTCTGGACACTTCAGTGGCGAGGATCGTGATCATTTAGATCAGGTGTCGGCAACCTGCGGCTCTTTAAGGACTGCTTCGTGACATTGTTCACAAGCATTGGGGCTTTTGAATTATTTGGGGTTTTCAAACATCTTTTTTTACCGAATTCACCCCCCCCCAAAAAAAATACCCTTCTTGTTATTTTGGTTACCGACCTCTTATGTAGAAATATTTAAAGTGGAACATAAGTTTTGCGATAACGTATTGTGTCCTTGACTCAAAACTATAGTAGTTCACCACCACCATGGTGCTATTAACAAAATTACCTCAATGAGTGACGATAGTCAATGTTATGCATTTCGCGCGGATGAATTTTACTGCCGAGTAAAATTATCTTGAGCCGCGTGCCGCAACGATAAATCGCGATTTTCATTCCGTGCGACCAAATCGAACCTGGTTCGCAATCTCTCACTCATGCAGTCATCCGTTGCCTTTCCTTCCCTCGGTGTCTTTAACGCATCACGAATGCAAATTGCACTGGACACAATTCAAACAACAACAACAAAAACAGCACCCCGCTATGCACGAGCCGCTGCTGCACAGGCGCGTCCTCGTTTTTTTAAGCGGCAGACATCGCGAGATGTCCTCCAACCTCAAACAGCCACTCCACCCTGACCATCTCGGTGACTTTATTTGAGCCGAACATCAACTTGGCGAGAGGACCCGCTGATATTGGTGATCTCGCGATGTTCGCGTGCGCGGCACGTGACGTGCTGTCGATGTGTGCCTGTTGTATACGTGGTGAGAATTGTCTTGTTTTTTTTTTACCATATGCGCCCCCCTCCCCTCCTCCTCCCCCCCCCCTACCAGCCTGGGAATAAATACATAGCTGCGTAGTAGAGGCGCGAATGGAGACGAAACGCGTATTTTCATTACGTCTTCGTTTTCAGGCTGCTAACCAATGTCGGTGTTTAGCTATCGCAACTCACACACAACGCATAACAACGCTGCCAATGCAGCCTCTTGTTCTCGTTCGGGGATTCCACTGTGCGCACAGGAATGGCGCGCATGGACTTCCCCCGTTCTAACGCCCTCGCCTTCCCGTTCCAACGCAGCAGAGCGTCATCTTGTTTCTGTTTATGGTTCCGATACGGCGACGCATTATTATTGTGTTCTGTACACAACATGTCGCAGAAATCCAATCTGTTAAAGAGAGCCGTCCGTGTTGTTACGGGGATTTGTTGACCTCACGCGGCGTGTCAATCGCGTTAATTTAAATTAAAAAAACGCGGTTTTTAAGCAGTTCGCTGCCAAACAATCATGCCCTGAGAAAAAAAATCTACCGCAGATCTGTGAATTGATATTCGGTGGTGAGGCGTGTGGTGAGTTTTGCACGGTCGGTGTGGTGAAGGGCGTGGGGGTGTAATTTTCATGAATTAAAACATTCAAGAGATGTTCTCGAACGGACGTTTACGAAGCGAAAACTATGAGTCTGCTCAAGGTTCGAACAGTGGCGTGTCGCCTAAATAGGGCAGTAATGTCGCCTCGTGCAAGCCGCTCCGAGGGGATGATTCGGGAGCGAGTAGTGGGGGGTGGGGGGGGAGTCATATCCCGCTATGATCAGCGCCTTTTACGCATTACCGCACGTCCCGTTAGCGGCTCCGTAGATATGAATATCAGAAGCCACGGTGGATTTGATTGATTCGGGATATTAATTGGTGCCGAGTGCACTTGTGTGGGCGAGGAACTTGATACCAAACGCGCTCGCTTTACCTTATCTGGTGTTTGATCAATGTGTGACTGCGTGCGCGCGCGTGTGGGTGTGTTCGCGTGATGGGGAGCGGTGGTGTAGTGGTTGGCTCGCTGCGCTACGAAACCTGACGACCCGAGTCCGATTCCCGTTCACTGCCCACATCAGTGGCGAATATCTGAACCGGTTCTGTGCCACCGTTAGGTCGACTCATAACGAAATGAATACCTGGTATGAACATCGACATTGGGGGAGACAAAGGTGGCCGTGCGTTTTGCTGGCCACCCACCCCCCTCGTGTGCCGTGGCGGCCTTCGTCCGTGCTGCTCGCTAACAGCACTTGCCCCAACTGTTTGTAAAGGCTATACGGGGGGTCTTTGTTTTTTTATTTGTTCGCATGCAAATATCCTCCGTAAATTTTAGCGCCAGTGACTGTTGCTTTGATAGGTTCCCTTTCGTAACTTACGCACGATAGGCTACACTTGTGCATGAGTGATAATGTCGTTTGGCTACCGTTTAGACCGATACATTAAATTAGCGGCGCACGTCTGACTGTCTGTGTATGTCTGTCCGTCTGTCGTCTCGGCTGTCTGTCAGTCGGCCCGCATGTCTACACGGCTGTCTGTATTGTGCTTGTCTGTCTGAATGTTCCTAAGCGTCTGCCTGTCGAGTGATGCGTCCCGTTCATCTGTCGCCTGGCCTGTCCGTGCGTCCTGTTTGTCCTCAGCGTCCGTTCATCTCCGCGCTTAACTTTCGGTCTCTCTGCGTGTCTCTGCGTCCGTGTGTTTAACCAGAATCAAGCATCCCCCGATCCATCCGTCCGTCCGCCCGCCGCTTATTATCCCCCTCCGCAGTCTCCTGAGTTCATCCTTGAAGAAGGTTCGCAGGAAACGAAACCCCCCGAGCGAGTCGAGGTCGAGGCGCGGAGAGGACTCCCTGACTCGGTACCAGAGACGCGCCGAGACAGCGAGCAGCGAGGGACCACCACCGCAGCCCCCTGCGGTGACCACCGTCCGCGAAGTCGAACCCAACTCCCTTTCGCCCCTGCGCGACCCTGGTTCGACCCCTGCCGCTCACCGGTCTCCGGTCGATCGGTGGTGTGAGGAGGTGGGGTGGTGGTGGTGGTGGTACACGTCGCTAGGCGATCATGTGGCGGGGTGCGTTCTCGCTCATGCTGCTGCTGTGCTTGTGCGGCGGCGCGGGCGCCCTGCAGCGACACGCGGCCCCGATGTGTCGCGACGAGTGCGCCGGGTGCCTGCGGCTGCCGCACGCCCGCACCCTCAACCTGAGCGCCCTGGTGAGTCCCGGAGCGCACGCGCACACACGCACGCGCACGCGCACACACGCACGCGCACGCACGCAGCTCAGGACAAAGAGAGATTCACAAAGACGCAAATTCCCCCCACCCCCCCCCCCCGCTCCCCTACACCGCTCCCGAAACAGGCCCCGAGCAGACTGTTGGAGGGCAGAAATCAGTGTCTGTTAGCGAGCGCCTATAGAGGGGCACGGTGGGGGTAGTGCGGTTGGCCAACATCACTCCGCGGTCCGTCTTTGTCTCCCCCGTGCTCCCCCTCCCCCCTCTTCCCGTCCCTATGCTGATATTTACACACCGCACCAGGTTACTTATTTCAGGCTGAGTAGACCTAGGGGGGAAAGCACATAACATGTTCGGATATTCGGCACTTATGTTGGTCGTGAGCGGGATTCGCACAAGGCTGGTCGCGGGGTTCTTGGCGCAGTTGCGCTAACCACCACGCCACCGCTCCCGCAGTTCACGCGTGTGAGTTACCACGCGACAGAGAGCAACGCGAACCCCGAACTTGTGTCCGCTGTCAATAAAGTTACGCAAAATCTGATCTCAAAGACCCGCACCTACCGGATTATAAGACGCACCGCCCCATCGTTTGCTTTAAAATGCAGAGAATGTGCGTCTTATAATCCGGACAACGCGGTACCTGTGGGTGTCAGGATTAACACCGATGGGACGAACCGACATTTCAATGTATTGTCATGATGTTTGTAACATGAGGATGACCGTCGCGGCCTCTAGTGGCTGCAGGGATCACGTAAACCCTTTAGATACTGTGGATAGTAATCATAAAAAAACATCATTTATTACACACGCGCTTTTTTGGATGTATCCGGAGCTTAATAATCGACGTTAATCGATGAGTCGATGCACAGTTAGCCACAACTACCACTCACAGCTACCACTACCGCGTTCTCAACACAAAGCGTTGCTTTTGTAACCTCGTGCAATGCAATTTATTTATTGGACCGTGTTGAGTGTGCCTGCTATGATTAGGCAGCTCGAGTCTTTTTGTTAAAAGTTAAAATCCAAAATCGCATTTGAATTTTCATCTCTGCCCATCATCAGTTTGGGGTCAGTGAAGTACCGGTTTTTTTTTACAATTTCGTACAAAATAAACAGTTATTGTAGATTGTATTGCAGAATTTGAATGTTTTCTTTGGATTGTCGGAATCCGACGAGCTTTGAAGCTCTTTTTCCACAGATGTCCAGTGGGGGCGGTTCAGCAAGTTACAACAACAAACAGTGCAAAAACACGTTGGGGAGCGCAGAATCGAGAAAATAACAGTGAGCAAGTCGCTTAATGTAAGCAAATAAAATGAGAGTATATAAGTCCGATTTTTCAACACTAACTGCAAGCTTGGGCAAGGCTGCAAGACAACGACAAGAACGAGTCTCAGACCACACACCAAGACAACGCGCAGCCTCTCGATATAATCGCACAACCAGTACTGTTGCCTGCCATTCACGCCATTTCACAGGCATAATTTGAATACGAGAACACTGACTTTTTCTCAGAGCGTAACGTACAACGCGGAGGTGGTGTCATTACGGATGTCAACATCATCTCGACCCTCCGGAATCACCAAACACCGTGATAGAGTGCGGTCATGCTTCGTGAGAGAGTACGATCATACATCGTGATATAGAGAACGGTCAGGCATCTCAAAGATTACTGTCATACATCGTGATATAGAGTGCGGTCATACATGGTGATAGAGTTCAGTTAAACAACTCCCATTACCGACAACGGCGGAGGTAGAGTGAGATTATCTCTTCTTCCAGCGCGCAAACCAAGAGACGATCGTCATCGAGAAGCAGCAGCAGCAGCAGCGGCGGCAGTCGTAGATGATGTTGCTGGCTAATCAGGACGTTGGAGATCTTGCCTTATCTCATATTTATAAAGCGCATTTATCCAAGGTGCCTTACAGGTTTGGGAGTGGTACAATGAGGGTAGCTAAACGTGATACGGTGAATAGGGATGGCGTACGGGGGACGGAGCAGTGCCGGATTAAGCTAGTGCGGGGCATGTAGCATATGTTATAAAGGGGCACTAAAAATGCAAATATTAAAGCACAAATGTTTAACTTGCATAGTAAAGTAATTGTATTTTTTCATTTGATATACAGCCAGATACTACGATAAATCGATAACCTTAAACACCCAGTCGTTCATAAAAGTTGAAGGCAGTATAGTACTATAGTGATAGAGCAAGCGCAGAATCAGTGAACCGGAATTTATAGATTTTGATTTAAAGCTTTCGTGACTGCAGGGATTCATATTCTTGGTTCTTTCGGTAAAGTCACGTAGAAGGGAAGCAATAAAATAATAAAAATATTAAACAATAAAATTCTCACGACGTTTCGACTGCAACACAAGCAATCATCATCAGGTGTAAAAACCACAGCAAGAAAATTGATAGCTTGAAAGCATTTAGCGCGGGGCCCTTGAAAGTGCGGGGCCCGTAGCTACATTTGTAGCTACGTTTGCTCCTAGGATAATCCGGCACTGGGACGGAGGTCAGTGGGTACGGGAATTACGGCGAGTGCCTGGGGGTGGAGGGAACGATGGACCAGAGGTGAGCCTTTAGGGAGGATCGGAAACTAGACGGGGAGGGTTCTTGCGTTACGCGGGGAAGCTGCGTTCCAGTGCAACCGTGGCTATTGCCACCGCTACTTAGAATGGATGTCGACCGGCACGGTATGGTAAACGAGACGTGCGAACCACCCTTTTGATAACAACACCACCAACAACAACAAGAACAGGACGGCCATCCGCGCGCAGAGGGTTGTGCGCGCTTACCGCCGGCGGCAATTTGCTTTATTGGCAGGTTGCCGCGATGACTCGATATGCTTTGCGCAACACTCCGCCGGCTGCATTATGAACTCAGTTCGGTCCGCGTCTGGCCCATAAATTACAGCGCTGTGTGCAATCAGCGGAAGAGGCGAATGACGAGGAGGTGGAGAAGAGCGAGAGGTGTGGGGGGCGGTCGGGAGGGTGATTGCGAATTTAATTTGGCAAGAAATGTTTCGGCGGGAGAGAGAGAGAGAGAGTTTGTGTGTGTGTGCGTGTGTGGGGGTGGGAACTCAAAAGGATCGCTTTCAATGTAAATGACATTGAGAGCGTTGCAGCCGCCTCCCGCGCCCGCGTGAACGTCACGCGGTATCGTTCCCACGCGTATGCAGCTCGCCGGCGAGCACCTCATTGTAATGGCACTCGCGGGGAATTGGTCTGTGGGTTGTGCTGTGGGTTGTGCTCACAGTGCCGGATTGTCCCAGTAGCACAAAGCAGCTACTACACATGTAGTAGTAGCTACTACGGGCCCCGCACTTTCAAGGGCCCGCGCGCTAAATACTTTCAAGCTATCAATCCCGGGTTCGGTGATTCTGCACTTGCTCCATTGCTATAGTACTATACCGCCTTCCAACTTTTACGAACGACCGGGTGTTTTAGGCTAGCGATTTGTCGCATTAGCTGGCTGTATAGCAAATGAAAAAAATACAATTACTTTACTGTGCAAGTAAAACAATTGTATTTTAATATTTACGTGTTTTTTTTTTATTTAGGGCCCCTTCATAACATGTTTTACAGGCCCCCGCAACTAGCTTAATCCGGCACTGGTTGTGCTGTGGGTTGTGGTGTCGTGCAGCTCTCTGGCGATTGTGGGTGAGCGGTTAGCGCGCGCCGCGGTCACGAACGCGGAGACCCGAGTTCGATTTTCACTCACGGCTCACACCAATGACGATTATCCGAAAAGGTCCTGGGCCTCCCCTACGTCGACTCAGCCTCAAATAAGTATCCGGTGCGGTGTGCAAACATCGCCACAGAGGGATAAAGGCGCGACCGGGCGTGGTGGCTGGCCACCCACCCCCCTTCGTGCACCGTGCCGGCCTTCATAGGTGCTGCTTGCTAACGGCACTTGCCCCAACAGTCTGTGAAGGCTACACGGGGTGGGGGGGGGGGGGAATCTCTGTCTTTGTACAGTTCTCCCCACGATTCGCTGCCGATTAGTCGGACACGGTGCCGACCAACACGTGGCGCAGACCGCCAACGTGCGTCGGAGAGCTGAGCAGGGAGGATCGAGAGTCCAGAAGGACGCGTCAAGAGGCTTGCGATGCTGTCAACGTCGCAAGCACGCTCAGACGCCTTTGTCTTCTCCCACGTGGTGACGAGGGCGACCACATCATGCGCTACGTTTTTTAAAAATTATTTTTTAAATTGTATCTTATCAACCAACTGCAGCCATTTGTTTCACGATGTTAAATCAAACCGGTTTGTGACACCGACGGATCGCGAAAGGGCGAATCGTCGTGCACATCAAAGGTCCGAAGAAGAAAAGAAAGAAAAAAAAACTTCCACTCGATAATAATATAAAAACACATTTTTACCCATTCCGGCAACAACAAAAAAACAACCAGGAGGTGTTAATATGTTGAAGCACCAAATCGACACCTACTGCAACACTTCAAGTTTGCATTAAGCACACACGCGTGTCATGAAACGTGCTGAGTAAACCTGGGGGGGGCGGGGGGGGGGACGGGGACAGGCACGTGCTATTTTCAAATACAAATTGGCATTAACGTTGTTGTGCAGTGCGTCACGTTCGGGGAAGGTGATGGGGCAAGCTAGGCTCTTAGCCAGGGGTAGGTTGGCCAGATCCACGCCCGGCCGCCTCTGTTTTCACGGATTGTTTACACCTTATCATTGTATGGCAAACTTCGTTCGCGCCGTACGTAGCCAACCGTGCCAATCGGAGGGAAGTGCGAGGGACGGAAAGCAAACTAAACACCGCAAAGCAGTTCAATCTGGATGATGATTTAAAAGTGCACAGCTCCAGAGGCTTCCTCGTAACCGAAGGAAGAGCGTTCCAGACGGCCGCAGAAGCGCATCTGAAAGCGCGCGATGCGGTGACCGTTCGATGGCTATCCCAGGTGCTTATTATCGAGCGCCGATTTAGCGTGACGATATTACCTGACAGAGCGTGGAAT